GTGTGTGAACTTTTTCATGGGTTTTTACAATAGAGGTCTCATACAATATTTGTCCTTTTGTGATTGACTTATTTCACTCAGCATAATGCCCTCCACCTCCATCCATGTTGTAGCATGTATCAAGACTTCATTTCTCCCACTGGCTGAGTAGTATTCCACTGTATGTATGTACCACATTTTGTTTATCCATTCATCTGTTGATGAACATTTTGGTTGTTTCCACCTTTTGGCTATTGTGAATAGTGCTGCAATGAACATTGGTGTGCAAGTCTCTGTTTGAGTCTCTGCTTTCAAGTCTTTTGATTATATACCTCGGAATGGAATTGCTGAGTCATATGGTAGTTCTGTTTTTAGTTTTTTGAGGAACTGCCACACTGTTTTCCACAACGGCTGTACCATTTTGCATTTCCACCAGCAATGGGTAGGGGTTCCGATTTCCCCACATCCTCACCAACCTTTGTTATGTTTGTTTGTTTTTTAATCTTAGCCATTCTAGTGAGAGTGAACTGGTATCTCGCTGTGGTTTTGATTTGCATCTCTCTGATGGCTAGTGATGCTGAGCATCTTTTCATGTGTTTGGTGCCCATTTGAATGTCTCTTTGGTGAAATGTCTATTCAAGTCCTTTGCCCATTTTATGATTGGGTTTTTTGTCTTTTTGTTGTTCAGTTCTCGAAGTTTTATACATATATTGGTTATTAGATTCTTGTTGGATCTGTGGTTTCCAAAGGTATTCTCACAGTTGGTAGCTTGTCTTTTCACTTTTTTGGTAAAGTCTTTTGATGAACAAAAGTTTTTCATTTTTATGAGGTGCATTTATTTATTTCATCTTCTGCTGTTTGTGCTTTTGTTATTGTATTAGATAATCCATTATTAAAAGTTACGCCTGACAGTGTTACCCCAGCTTTTTCTTCTAAGAATTTTATGGCTTTAGTTTGCACATTTAGGTCCTTAATCCATTTTGAATTTGTTTTTGTTTATGGTGTAAGGCATGGATCCTGTTTCATTTTTATGCATGTGGAAATCCAATTTTCCCAGCACCATTTATTGAAGAGACTTTTCTTTCTTCATTGAATGCACTTAGCACCCTTGTGAAAAATCAGTTGACCATAGATGTGTGGGTTTATTTCTGGAGTCTCAATTCTGTTCTATTGGTCTATGTGTCTGTTGTTATACTAGTACCAGGCTGTATCAATTACTGTAGCTGTATAGTATGTTTTAAAACCAGGAAGTGTGAGTCCTCCTACTTTGTTCTTCTCTTGCAATATTGCTTTAGCTATTCGGGACCTCTTGCCATTCCTGCAGCCTCCCTTTTAGTAGGGAGAATCCAACTATAAGCAATGGACATGGTAACTAAATTATACAGAATGTTAGAAGGTAAAGGGGGCCCTGGAATAAAGAACAAGGAAGAGAAAGGCAGGGGATTGGAAATGGTGTTGGTAGCCTCAGAGCCCAAGGGGTAGGGGCTGGTATCTGGGCTGGGGTTGAGGAAAGCCTGTCTGAGTGGAGGGGATCTGGGTGAGCTGACATTTCATGCATGGTTGTGGGAGTGTAGATTAACACGCACTCCACAGAGGGCATCTCGGTGATGTCTGTGTCACAGTTACAAATGCACATACAGTTGGACCCAGCAGTTATACTCATTAATCCTTCAGATAAACTCATACCCATGCTGAGTGATGGATGTATAAAAATATTCATCAGAGCAACGTTTGAATAGAACAGACTAGAAACAACTCACTGCCCACTAATAGAGAATTAGATGTATTATGTTATATATGGAATACTAGGTGCCACAAAAAAGAATTACGTTCTGATAGAAAACACTCTCCTTGAAATGTTGCTAAGAGAAAAATAGTCAAGTTGCAAAATAGCATGTGTATAGGATGCTGTCATATGTGTAAAAGAAACAACTATAAGATGTATATATGTAGTCTGTCTCCGGAAAGAGATCAAAGAATCTGCTAGACACAGTGGTTGTCTCTTCGGAAGGGAAATGGATGGCTGGGAGGTGGCATGGGAAGGAGAGTTTTCACTGTGTTCCTTTTTGTACCTTTGGAATTTTGAACCATCTGAATATATTACCTAATCAAAAAAAAAAAAAAATCAGTTATTTAATTTAAAAATGTTCCAGTTGCTATTCGTACCCCACCCAGGTCCCTTTACCAACCAACAGGTGTACCCTTCTCCCATCCTCACCAGGCTGCCTCCAAATGGCTCACAGCTGCCCCTGCTTTGGAGAATTGCCCTTGGCCAAATGGGGCCCACCCTGCTCAGAAGGTTATGCTCCCCCTGCCCCCTAAGGGCAGCCAACAGCCAGTGACTGACTTGCATAGGGCTACAAAAGGCTGGCCCCTTGCTTCATGCTGGGACCAAATCTGCAGTCCAGCTGAGACCACATCTTTGCTTAGCTCCTCCCCATGCCCTGTCCTGCTGCCCTCCCTCCCTTGCAGGTTGTTCCTGAAGAGCACTCCCTGAAAATCGCATGCACCTGAATCTTTGTCTCGGGCTCTGCTCCTAGGGAACTCCGTCCAGGACACCTCTTTCAAAGAAACGGAACTAACTGGAACCAAGCCAAACCCTCTGCGTGTTTCCATGTAATAGCCTATGAAGAGGGAACTACTAACATTATCCCTGTCTGACAGATGAGCGGCCTCAGACATTCCGACCCCAGCTCAAGGCCATACATCAGAGGAACCTGCACTTCTCTCTCTTGCAGAGAAACCAGTTGCTGTGGAGTCAGTTTTGACTCATGACGACCCCGTGTGTGTCAGAATAGAACTGTGCTCCATAGGGTTTTCAATGGCTGGTTTTTCAGAAGTAGATCACCAGGACTTTCTTCCGAGTCACCTCTGTGTGGATCAAACCTCCCACCTTTGGTTAGCAGCTGAGCGGATTAACCATTTGCACCACCTAGGGACTCCTATTGCAGAGAAATCTCCTGAATCCGGACTTGGCAGCTTGTCAGAACACAGAATTGTCATTCCTGGAAGTGGTTTCTACCACAGTCCTCACTACCCTTGTCCAGGGATGGCTTAAGAGCTAGGATTGAACGTCTGAGGGAGCAAAGCCATTTAGGATAGGAAGACCTAGAGGGCGTGCGATTTCACCTGACTTCATTTTGGCCAAGTGAGGCATTTGGGTGTTTGCATACTTTCAGGGATGGGAAGCTCAGTGTCAGACAGGCAGCCTGCTGTGTCTATGGACAGGGTAGAAAGGGCAGAAAGGTTTTCCTTTGCCATCCTAAGTGTGACCAGTGGTGCTAGCCTGAGCACAGAACAGGGACTGCTCCTCCTGCCTGAGGGGGATCCCTGCTGCACCGAGGCTCCGGGCCTCCTGGGCTCTGGTCTTTGTTTCTCCAGGCCCCCAGCCCCTCACCCTCAGCTGGGCCTCCGGCTCCTGGACAGTCCTCTGACCTCCTCTGGCTGCTTTTCCTGCTACAATCTTGAGAGCATTTTAACCAGAGCCCCCTCTCTGTCTCTGTTCCAGTTTGATGGTGACAGCGCCTACGTGGGGATGAGTGACGGAAACCCAGAGCTCCTGTCGGCCAGTCAGGTGGGTGCCCGTCCTTCCTGAGTGCATCCAAACCTTGGGCTGGCTGGTGCCCAGCTGCTCCTGGGGTGTGGGTGGGAGAGGTGCAGAGTGAGGGGGGCAGTCCAGCCCACTGCTCGCTCCTCTCTGACTGATCAGCAGTGCCATTTGGGTCCCCTTGAAAACGACAACCAGACTGGGACTATAGTGGTTACCTGGCCACTGTTGGCTTAAAAATGGAAGTCTTTGAACGCTGGATGAAACTAGAAATGTGCTGCCCAGCAGGGGCTCAGGGGGTTTTCAGCAACAGTGAGTGGAGGTGTCATGTGCTCCCTGATGCTGCTGCTTCCTGCCTCCCTGGTACACTGGTGTGCGTGTGCACACGCCCACTCCTGGGCACATGGGTTCTCCCCACCTGGGGTTGTCTAATGACACAGGAGTGGGCATGGTGTGAAGGGAGGAGAGCAGAGACCACCTATGAGGTTCTCCTCTGTGTTGAAGGGGGCTGAGTCCCAGCCTAGCCCAGCTCTTGGGGAGCCACAGGGATCCTTGCCCAGATACCAGCTGGAACTATGTTGTTCCCTGCGTGCCTGGTCTCTGAAAATTAAAGTATCCCACAGCTGGGAGCATCTTCAGTAGACCCACTCAGGCTGGGGTGCCAGGGAGGGGCCTCATTGCAGATTGGGGTGCCAGGGAGGGGCCTCACTCAGGCTAGGGTATTGGGGAGGGTTCTTGCTGAAGGCTAGGGTGTGGGAGGGTCCCCGCTCAGGCTAGGGTGTTGGGGAGGGTCCTTACTGCAAGCTGAGGTACCAGGGAGGGTCCTCACTCAGGCTGGGGTGCCAGGGAGGGTCCCTGCTCAGGCTGGGGTGCCAGGGAGGGTCCCTACTCAGGCTGGGGTGTCAGGGAGGATCTCTATCAGGCTGGGGTGCCAGGGAGGGTCCTCGCTCAGGCTGGGGTTCCAGGGAGGGTCGTCACTCATGCTGGGGAACCGGGGAGGGTCCTCACTGCTGGCTAGCATAGAGAAGGGGCCTTGGTTCAGAATGGGATGCTGGCAGGGGTCCTCACTGAAAGCTGTGGCTCAGGTGGGAGGCAGGAGCTCCTCACTTAAGCCAGTGGACCTGATGTGGGAGGAGCCTAATGCTGGCTGTGGTGCCCTGCTGTGTCCTCACTGCGAGGTGTGTCATGTTGAGGAGGGGTCAGAGTTACAGGTACCCGTACTGATGCCTGCTGGGCAGCTGTGTCCTCACTGCAGGCTGTGGCACAGGTGGGAGGCAGGAGAATCCTCAAGGCAGCCTATGGACCTGTAGAGAAATGTTCACTTCAGGCTGTGGCATCCTGGAGGATGGTGCCCTAAGGCAGTGGTTTCCTGCACGATGGTACCAGTTCAGGGTACTGCCAGAGGGCCGAGGAATTTCATAGCTGCTGAGAAGCTTGGGGAGCTGGAGGACTAGCCTGTCCCTGGAGCTGACCTCTATCCTCTGTGTGTGTAGTCGTGGGGGCTGTGGCAGTCCAAGTTGGGTGGCCCCTTAGCCATCATGCTGGGCCCACATTTTCTAGCTGGGGAAACAGCAGCCTATCAGTTCACAAACATTTATGTACCTCACTATGTGACAGGTCCTGTGGGGGACAGAGATGAGTAAGATGGGTTCTGTGGCCCTTAGGTAGCCCTGCCAGTGAGGGAAGATACAGTAGACCCAGTAGGGCATGAAAGCCCCACTGCAGGACATTGCACCCCTCCCCTGCCCACTGCACTCCCAAGGTGGTGCTCTGTGCTGGGACCACCTACCATGCCCCTTCTCTGGCCCATCCTTGTGTGAGCACCATGCCACCCTTGGAGACACTGGTGGGCAAGGCTCCAGGTCCTGGAGCTTATTTTGGAAGAGGCCACTGATGTCATTTAATTGTTCATAATCAGCTTGGAAATGTGGCTGTCTCAACAGACCAAGGCTTATCCTGAGCATCTCATCCAAGCCCTTTCACAGTGTTTAAATTGTGTTTGTTAACATATTGAATCTGGCTTTCAGAACCATACCATAGAGGAGTCTGTTCTGGCTCAAACCCTGGTGGAGGGTGTTGGCACTGCCCTTCCACCAACAAGGAAAAGTGGGGCTTCATGGGGCTCTGTGTCTGCTCTAGGCTTGGGCTGAGGGGACCACAGTCCTTTGGAGAAGAGATGTGGGACAAATAAATGCCTCCCCAAGCCATTAACAGCAGCACCTCAGTTGTTTGCTGAACACTTCACAGTTTGCAAAGCCCTTTTCTCAGTGGTTATTTCAGCTGATCTTCACAACAGTCTTGAAAAGTATTAGACATCGTTAACCCGTATTATAGATGAGACAACTGAGGCCCAAGGATGTTGACTGGCTCAGTCAAGGTGACTCAGCCAGGGATTCGAACCTGCTCAGCTGGGACTCACACAAAGCTTCACACACTTGCTTTGCCCTGCCTTGTTGGTGGAGAGCCCTGCTCCCACTCCAAGGCTACCACCAACTTGCTCCAGCTTTAATGTGACTTCCTCACAGAGCCCTTTGTGATCCTCAAATCCAAATTAGGTCTCCCCATGATTCTCTCTCATGATACCATGTCCTTTTAATTCACAGTATTTGTCATTGTTTGTGATCATCTACTTATTTCTGTGATGACTCAGTTGACCTCTGATTTCCCCACTGGACTGACCTCCATGAAGGCAGGATCTGGTCTCTCTTGTTCACTGCTGTGTACCCCAGTGGGGCGCAGTGCCTGACATATAGGAGGAACTCAGGTAGTATTTGAGTAATGAGTGAATGTGGCCCCTCCCTTCTCTGGACTTCAGTTTCCCTGACAGTGGAACGAGGTCATTGGACTCCCCGAGGACCCTTTCAAGTGTCTTCTGCTGCCATCCAGAGGGTCTCCGTAACTTAGGACTCTATGAAGAAGATACCAGGATTCTCTAAGATTGAGCAAGTCCACCCAGTGGCATGAGCCAACTTTGATGTGATCAGATTTAGCAACTGCAATCTAGACTCCTTAGCTCTTGCTAAGCTAGCTTTTATTACATAACAAACTACCCCAAGACTTAGTGCCTTAAAGCAATAAACATTTATCTAGGTCATGATTCAGTGGGTTGGTGATTTAGCTGGTTCAGCTGGGTGGCTCTTTTGGTCTTGACTAGGATCACTTAAGTGGCAGCAGTCAGCTGCAGGTCAGCCATGAGCTGGTTGGTATGGGAAGGATACAGTTAGGATTCTGCTCCACATGGCCTGTCTTCTCCAGCAGGCTAGCCTGAGCTAGTTCACATGGTAGGAGAAGGGCTCCCAGAACAGCAAGAGCAGAAGCTGCAAGACCTCTTGAGGCCTAGGCTTGGAACTGCCACATGACTAATTCTGCATATTCCATTGGTCAAAACAAGTCACAAGCCCAGTGCAGATCCAGGGGATGGGGAAATAGATCTTGATGGGCCGTGCTGCAAAGTACTGTGGTCTTTTTATAAACTACCACACGTGAGAAACAGTTGAGATGTAGTTTGTGCTGATTTTGCTGAAATCAAAGCTTAGCTTCTCAGGATCTGCAGCTCCCTGTGGCTCAGTGGGGCTCCACTGGCTTCTGGTCTCTAATGGTAAAAGTTTTTTATATTTCTTTCTAGTCTTTTTCCTGGAATGCTTGCTTGAACTCACACACGCTCATATGCACGTGAATACCCTCTCTCAGTGTGTTTTCTCATCAATTGCAGCAATTCTGTTTTCTTAGTCACTGCAGGATTAACATAGTAATGTGGGAAAAATGAAAGTCTCATAGCCAATAGGGGATCAGAGAAAAACAAACGAACACTCTAAATAGCATAAAGTACATTTTATAAATATAGTTACAGTCTGGCCCTCCACGCAGGACACCCGGATTTGATTTCTGGCCAATGCACCTCATGCGCAGCCACCACACGTCTGTCAGTAGAGGCTTGTGTGTTGCTATGATGCTGAACTTGTTTCATCAGAGCTTCCAGACTAAGAGGGACTAGGAAGAAAGGCCGGGCGATCTACTTCTGAAAAGTAGTCAGTGAAAACCTGATGGAGAACAGCTGTCTGATCTGCAGCCGATCATGGGGATGGCACAAGACCAAGTGGTGTTTCGTTTCCTTGTGCATGGGGTCACCGTGAGTCAGGGTCAACTCCACAACAGATAACAACAATGACAACAACGTTATGCGTAAGGCCCAGACATGAGTAGGTAGCTGTTTCTGGAAAGTGTTTGCTTCCAGAACAGTTCAATTTTATCATGTTAAAAACCTGCTCTTTAATGTAACCCTTTTCCTGAAACACCATCTTCTTTATTTAGAAATTTCGCTGAGACAGAGTCTCCTGTGGGGCATATGTTATGCCGACTGTGTCCCCTTTTAAAACTTTTCAAACTAGCTCTTATGGGCTTGAAGTCTCTTTTGTAAATGCACGCTCCATTGTTTAGTTTTTGCAAGCCTCCACAAAATTCCTGTATAGCTGCCTTAGCTTTCACAAATTATCACTTTTCCCCCATCCCTGGGCCTTGTGCTTTTTTGTGCCAGACTTGCCTGGGAAGTCTGGGAATGAGACACAATTCTCAGTCTGGGCTTCAGACCCACCAGCAGCCTCTGGGGTGGAGGGCCTTGTAGAGGTCATGTCTTCGCCCTGTTGAGAGCAGACCCTGTTCAGGAGTTACAGGAATTGATATTTTCTGGCTATGAGTCTCCTTCTTCCTGGGATGAGGGTGAAGAGGAAAGGAACTGAACTTGAGAGTCAGCGGACTTGGATTCCAATTCCAGCTCTTCCACCAGCCAGGTGTGCTTATAAAAGTGAGTTCAGCTTTCTAGCAAATGGGAAGAGTAACTCCTGCCTCCTGCGGTGTCAGAAGAAGTGTGTGTTCTGGACAGAGGTGAAAGTAGGGTATGGCAGGTATTGCACCGGCCCTGGGCATGTAGCGCCACTGAGCAGTTTCTATTAACCCGGTACAGCCAGCAGCGTATCTATGGAAAATGGCGCCTATGGCAAGCATTGAAATTGCACCCTTGTCCAAACATC